TAAATTTCTCAACATTGCATAAGAGTTTAACTGTAATTATGTATGATGCAAAAGAATATTTTGTTTAAAATAAAATTGGTGAGGAAATTGAATTTAAATAAATTCTAAAATGTTGATAAAGTTTTAAAACTCATTACATTAGAAAAAGGTTTAGTTCAAGCAATGTATTTACTAAATTGTTTGATCGGTATGGGAAGAGTTTTCACCTGACATAGAAAGAAACGTTTTTGATATTTTTGTTGTTGTTATTTCTGAAACTTCTTATTTGAACTTGATACACACATTTCCAACAATGTTTCAGCTACTTTATATAAATTGTAACTATAAATTGTATGAATGTCATCAAAAAACCTATTTACAGCAGATATAACTACTTTATTTTCGATAATTTTACTCTTTTAATGCCAACCTTTCAATTACAGAACAATTATTCAAATACTGGAGGCAGATTGTGTCCATAATATCCGCAAATTTAACTATAGCGACTAGTATAGCGTGGTCCAGTGAAAAATCCTGACAAAACAATATTTTTCTTCTGCAATTCGTAATAGCAATAATGATATTTAATTTTTATAGTAATACTAGATAGTATGATTCGGATATTGTGCAATTTCTTTTGAGATAGTTAACAATATAAAAACAGTAGCCAAGACCATCTTTTTCCCGGCTAATAGCACAATTATTGAATTATTTTGTTTACACTTAGATTTTCTTTAAAAGTACTTAGATATGTACGCTAAAATTTTACTTTGTTTTAACTATTAGAATAGGTTTATGGAAATGTTGAAGTGATTGAGTTTCGGTACAAAGTCAATAAACGTAGCATCCGATACGCGAAAAGCTTTCTTTTTCTCATCTTCTCTTAAATTTTTTTACAACTTTTTTCAAATAAAGCATTTCCCCTAATGAGGAACAACCTCAGCGAGGTTACTAATATTTATTCGACGCTTATACAATACTATTTAATTTACTTCTCCGATCATGTTTGAAGTGTCTACTGTTGTATTTGATGGCATGAAATTTCCACAAACTTATTCTAAACCAAACAGTCTTTTAAGTTTCAACAAACCAGCAGTAGTTGGTACGTTAAAAAATAGATAGAATCCATCAATGCAATCACTTCATCAAAAACATAGACATAGTTACTCGCCTCTGTCAACTTTGAGGGCATTAGCACGCATCCAACCAACCTATACTAACCTTAACCATTCTTAAATGACTTAAATGTTCTTCACTTGCCTAATAGAAATTTACAAACGTGGACTTATTGAATCTACCTAATTGAATTTGGAAGCTCAGATAGTCTAACAAGGATAATACACGAAAGTAATTACAATTAGTGTTAATCGCCTCTGTCAACTTTGAGGGTATTTGCCACCCAATTTATCTTAACCTTATCCATTCTAAATAGGATTAAATTTGTTAATACATATTCTATTTTAAATATAAAATTTATATAAGGTACTTTAATCAATTTATGCTTTTCTTTTCGCAAACAGTTCAAATCAATTAATGAAAAAAATTATTGAAAATTAATTTTGTTAGTAAAAACAGTTGATATTTTAAGAATTGTATGTTAAACATAATTTAGAGGCAAAAGTTTGTTTATTTGTAGTTAAGATAATCTCAAGATTCTAGCCATGTTGACAAGACATAAAGTAATTTTTTTTTGAACTCAACTGTATTACTGAACGACGTTTGGTAAAATCCAAATAGTAGCTTAAATTAGTAACTTTTTCACGCCTTGTAAACAAAATGTACTCGTGAATTAAAAATCATATACTTTTCTGTGTGCAAATAAAGAAAATTTACATTTTTATTGATGAGTTTGCAATGAAAACTGGTTTAAACGCCAGTTGTCCTTCTTATTGTTTGGCATCTGAGACTTTTTCGAGGTTACCACACACGAAAATGCACTAAATACTTGATTTGCGGACAACTGCTTCATGCTTCTTAACGAACAAGTGAACGCTTAATGTACTCGAACATATCGCATACAGACATTCACTGCTCATAGCAAACACTTGTGCCATTTCTTATTTAAAATCAAGAATTCGTTTGAACTTGTTTTACTGATAATATTTTGTAAATATTAAAAATAAAATATGAATAACAATTTTCTGATGGCACATTATTAAACTTGTTCTCGGCATTCCTTAACTGGGAGAGAAGAACTGGTCATAGAATTAAAATTTAATATCTAGTATTAAAAACACTTTTTATTAACTGTATAATACTACAAATATATTTTTTTAGTTGCTATAGATCGTCTTAAATAATTAAAATTTCGGTTTTTAAATAAATTGTATGAATATATTATTTTGTCATTTATTTTGATTTTTTTTATATATTATTTATATTATTTTAATAAATAATGCTTAAGTCTGAAAGAAAATGTTGAAAATTGTTTAATACGTAGAATACTTGGCAACTTTTAAAATTGCGTACAACACTCTCATATAAAAATTCAATATTATATACGCAATAGCTAATTATGTATGTATAATAATATAAAATATACACAATATCTAATGAACTATGTATAATAATATAAAATACTTTTATTTGATAGATAGAAAGCCATGAACCCACTAGAATCACTTCTTAGGAAAGAGTTGAGAAGATATCTCTCACACCTTTCAGACTGTGAAAGACTTTGCTACTTTCAATAAAGTATAGTAAAAACTGTCTTAGTAAACATTTATTGCAAGCCAACATTTGTCCATTAAGAAGGACTGTCCGGTGAAACCAGGTGTTTCAAATTAAATAACAAAATTTCACTTTATGAAAATTGTTCACTCACGAGAGGAATTCGTTCTCAGAATTGTCAGTTAGAAGAGTTTAAACAAATTGTAATGGTATATATATACATATATGTAACATAGACGTCATATAGCCGAGGTACAGCGTGGAAGAAATAAAAGTAGACATTTCGAATTTTATATTTTCTGAACCAGTAGAGATAGAGATACGGGCTTTATTTTAAATATATTTTGACCCAAACATGGGCCTAATAAATTTCGGACCAAATATTGTCAACTTTTTCATTTTTTTGAACACCTCAAAACCTATATTACGTAGAAAATATGGATCAGATAATTTTGTGATATTCTTCCTGCTGCAATGCCTACCCCCATACAAATTTTGTCACATGCTCATTGGTTTTTAAGTTATTTGCAATTTTATGAAATTTCAGCGAAATTGAGTTTTTGCAGAAATTGGACCAACTATAAATTCTTATAATTTGTTCATTAAATCATTATTCTGCCAATCCAGAAATGATGATATTTTATATTTTTTAATCCTTGGGATATATTTATTAATAGCTTGTAAAAACATTTTCAATTTTAATCAACAATAAAATTTTATAAATAAAAATGTACCATATGTCCATTTTTTATAGATTTTCCATTTAAGTCTTATAACCAAAACCCGAAAATAATATCCAAATTTTTCTATAATCTTCTTTTACTATTAGCTTTCATAAAAGTTTTATGAAAATCAAAAAATGATTTTTGATTTTGACAATAAGTATTCAACTAAACTTCATATTTTCTATTCTATGATTTATATATTTAATATTTCTAATATTTATATATTCACATCAAATAATTTTAATCTTTTTTATTTACCTCAAATTTTAATCTTTTATCTTATTTTGTTGTCATTGTTCCGAAATATCCAATGTCACATAAATTTTTCTTTGTTTATTTACACTTTTTATATTATTTGCACTTTATTTTCAATGGTTTCCTTTGTTTTTACA